GACTAATGGTTGTAAGTGGCCTGATGCTGAACTGGACCCGGCTCCAACATGGAAAGGAAACTCTGGGCACTGGCTTTGCCGTTAGCTCTGCTGAAGCCTCAGCTACACTTCTTCTGTGACTGAACTAAAGGAAATGGGACGGTGGAAACCCAGGGATCTAATTCCACGAAAATAAAGCTTTCTACCACATCTCATCCTCCCATGGGGGCCTCTGGAAATGCTTCTTCCAGCCCCACTTCCCGATAGCAAAGACATCTTTAATCTAATCCCCCTACCTCACCCCTCCCCACCCCAGAGTTGTTCAAGTGAGGGAGAAAATGAAGGCATTGGCTGCTTCTCAGTCCTTAGCGAGCAGCCTGACAGCGACCAAGGCTTAATGTACTGGAAGAATATTGAAACCCATGTTAAATTATAATATGGAAATTTGTTAAAGGCAGCTGGATCTCTCAAACACAGCTGAATTTTCAGTCTTTCATTCATCAGGGAAAGCAAGATGTGCCACTTGGTGGCATATCTCAGTCTTCTAGGTTGGGGTGGGGAGCCGAGAAAAGGGGGAAGTGAAGGAGTATAGAAAATATTTAAAACTATTGAACGTGGAGCCTTGAACATGAAGACAGTGCTGGAAAAAGCTTATCAGTTTTTAGCACACTGAACCCAAACTTTATACTTTTTCTGCCTCTGAGTCCTCTTCATTATTGCAGAGAGCTGTCTCTGGGTGACCTCCCACCATAGGCTTCCCTGCAGAATCCATGCATCCTTTTAGAAGTTTTAACCTACCTCCTTCCCCTCTCCTTTGTTAATTTTTCAGTATCTTTAGCATTGACAAATATCAATTTGTTCTCTCATGATGACAATTTGTGGATTTTCAGTAAACAGTTTCTGCAGAGCACATGTTTTTGTTCCTTTATTGTCAACTCTCTGTTGCTGTTTATTTTGTTTTTAGTTTTTCCTGCCTGTCCAGATGTTAAAGGGTCTGGGAGTTATGTGGAAAACAAGACTGATTAAGTCCTGCCCTCTAAGAGCTGCCAGTTTAGTGGTGATTCCAGATACAAATGCCTACTATGAAGAAAATAGCAAAGGGCGTTGGGATAGAGATGGGGGAGGCTATTTTATAGCATGTTGGCTAAGAAAGCCTTTCTGATACAAGGACATTTGATCTAATGTTACTGAAAACAGGGATCTGGCCCTGAGTGGGTCTGCTGGCAGCGTGTGGGTTCTTGGTTACGTGCAGAAAAAATTTCATAACACGAGTCCAGGTCACTATGAGGGAATGTTTATTAAAGCTGGGGACAGTAAAATAAGAAAGGGGTTAGCATAGATCCGCGGTCAGCAAACTCCGGCTCTCGAGCCGCATGCAGCTCTTTGGCCCCCTGAGTGTGGCTCTTCCACAAAATACCACGGCCTGGGTGAGTCTATTTTGAAGAAGTGGCATTAGAAGAAGTTTAAGTTTTAAAAATTTGGCTCTCAAAAGAAATTTCAATCATTGTACTGTGGACATTTGGCTCTGTTGACTAATGAGTTTGCTGACCACTGGCATAGATGAAGCAGCAGGAGGCTGGGCTATCCTAGCCCTCGGGAAGACAGAGAAAAGAGCACTTTGGGGACACGTTTAGGGGTTAGCCTGGGACAAACTACTACTGCCCATTGCTTCCCTGGTTGCAAGTCTCATAGGGTCCCTTAGAGTTTGGAAGGTGCATGCCTGTGGGGGAAGAGGAGGAGATAGGGAAGGGCTGATGCTGCTCACCAGAGGGAGAGCATGAGCTGGGACCTTTGTCTTGAGGCTTTTATTTTTATTTTTTTTATGCAAGCAGGAATCTTAGAGGAGGCCTCAGGGGAGGGTTTCAGCAGAATATTCATCTGTTTTCTAGGTGTGCTCCTTCAAGGTCATGGTCTTCACTGATTGGTCCTTCAAGGTCATGGGCTTCACTGATTGGTCAGTGACAGGGCAGGGGGTCTTTAGTCATTATTACTGATTCAGGTGCTGCTCACCTGGTTTTGCTGCTTTTCTGGGCCTGGAGCAGAAGTGCAACTGAGGCCTAGATGTCATTTCTAAGGAGGTGACCTTCTATAGCTGCTGTAAATTGCTCAATCAGTATGTTCAGCCTGAAAGGAGCAAAGGGAAGGCCAACTAGATGCATGCTCTCTAGATGGTTTGGTTGTGTAGGGAAGGTTCTTAGCTGTCAGTCACACCTGGAAACAGGTCGTTGGCCAGAATACACATGGCTACTGCAAGTGTGGCAAGACTTGATATTTAAACTCCAAAATAAAAGAGCTCTCTCTAGCATGCTCTCTGGGCTCTTGGCTCTCTTGTTGCAGAGGATGTGATCCCCTGCATTTGCCCATATGGCTCACAGCCACGTGGACTCCACAATTGGGCTGATAGACTGTAACTAGTCTGAGGTTGTGCGGGATCCAGCTTCGCTGTGGGATGGAAACTCCAGACACTGGCTTTGATTTTAGCTCTGCTGAGTCCCTGGTTGTACATCCTCAGGATTGGTTTAATGGATGTAATTCCATGCAAATGAAGCTTTCTACCACATCTCATCCTCCTGTGGGGGCCTCCAGAAATGCTTATTCCAGTGGTACCCTAAGAACTCTATTCTCATTAGCAAAGGAAAAGGGCAATCTATGCAATTCTCCAATAACACAGCTATTTGTCTCAGTTTCCCTGAACTACTTGTCCTGCCTTACTGAGACTTGAATGCTGATAAGGAGCTTGAGAACATCTGGAGATAAAGCAGCCCTGTAGGAGGAAGAGGAGGTGGTAGATTCCACAGGAGAAGGTGCTGGAGCTCATGTAAAGGGAGAGAGGTAATCTGGGCCAACGTGGGCCAGGCTGACCATAGTAAGGATTACTTTTATTCAATGTGCAACAGAAAGTCACTGAACATTTTTAAGTAGGGAAATTGTAGGTTTTCAAAAGAATCTTCGGTCTAATGCCTGAAGTTAACACTGGAGGGAAGAAGGTGCATTGGCAAGATAGAATTAAGACCGCTTACTTAGTCCATGCAGGAAATGTGGGTAGCTTGGACTAGGATAGCAGTAGTACAGATGTCACCGTAAATGTCCAGGGTTTAGTTAACAAATAAAAGGAAAGGAGCAAGTTGGAAATCATAATAGTAATAACAGTGGGGACTCAAAAATGTAGGGTGCTCTTCCTCTTGTGCCGTGGTCGGCAAACTGCGGGGTCTCGAGCCACATCTGGCTCTTTGGCCTTTTGAGTGTGGCTCTTCCACAAAATACCATGGACAGGGCGAGTCTATTTTGAAAAAGTGCCATTAGAAAGTTTAAGTTTAAAAAATTTGGCTCTCAAAAGAAATTTCAGTCCTTGTACTGTTGATATGGCTATGTTGACTAATGAGTTTGCTGACCACTATTCTAGTGTACTAGGATCATGATGTAAGTGTTGTGAGGAAGACCTTGATGAGTCAATTGGTAGGGTTTCTTAAAAAAACTTTTCAACCATGAGCAGATATTATGGAGAAAAAAAGAAAAAAAAAAAAAAAAAAAAAAAGGAAAGCGTGCCTAGAGTGGCTCAGAGGTTGAGCACTAACCCACGAATCAGGAGGTCACAGTTCCATTCCTGGTCAGGGCACATGCCCGGTTGCAGACTTTATCCCCAGTAGGGGGCGTGCAGGAGGCAGCCCATGGAAGATTCTCTCTCATCATTGATGTTTCTATTTCTCCCTCTCCCTTCAGCTCTCTGAAATCAATTAAACAAACAAACGAACAACAAAAAAAAGTCGACCAGTCCCTGCCTTAAAACACGCAATTTTCTCTTATGTATGTTTACTTCCTGTTTTTCCCAAGGCACAAAAATGGGCCCATCCTGCATGGCATAATGGGTGCCATGAATATTCATCATTTCATCTGGGTGAAATTAGGAAAAGATGGAGATTTGTTTTGCAGACGTCCAACCCGCAGCATTTGCCTTTCAGGCCCCTGACAGACATCCAGGGGGCTCCATTTCTCGCCGCAGTTTTGGAGAGCTTGCTGGTTAGGTGCTGCCCTGGGAGGGAGGGGGCGCGAGGCGGGGAGTCAGCCCACACCCCACAGGTTTGCTCTCCTTGCATGGCGGCTGCCGGGCGGCAGGGGGCGCCGCTGGAGCAGTTGTTCCTCGCAGCCCTCGAGAGCCGCTCGTCCGCGGAAAGGGCCGAGCCGGGAGGCGCGGCGGGCAGCCCAGGGTCCTTTTTGGTCTCGCAACTTGAGCATCCAGAGCTCGTGCTTCACGGCCATTCTCCTACCACATTTCATCATGTTGGACGCCGTCCATCCGGTCCTGGATCCGGGCGGAAAGGAAAGCATTCGCTTCCCGCCTTCCTCGGTTATAGAGGCGGCTCTTCTCTCTGTGCTCAGGGTCGGCTTGACAGCTCCCCTGCAACTGTGAAAGCCACCCCCCACCCCCTGCACGTCGTGTCTTTCTTTCCTCTTTGGGGGTCTTTTCTCTTTCACCTACCGCGGGAATATGTTCCTCCTTTCCTACGCGTCTTCCCACTGACATTGGAGACAACGGTGCGCTGGGAACCGAAACCTCTCCCTCCTAAGATCCTCCCCACCAGCCCCGCACACAGAGAAGGTCGCGTGCGTGTTGGTGGCCCCCGAGGCTGCAGAACTCGCCAAACCTGTTCCTCCGCTCCCGGTGCCCAGGAGTGTGTCCGGCCGACCCGGCCCGCGCCGGGCAGCGCTCGGCTGAGCACCAGCCGGTGGCCGGCGCCGCGGGGCTGGCGAGCGCGCGCGCGCATCCTCCCTCCGCCCGGGGTCTCCTCCCGTCCCCCCCCACCCTCCCCTGCAGGCTGCGCGCCAGCCCCCGCCCCGGGGTCCCCCGGGCTCTCCCCCACGGTGAGATCGGAGGTGGAAGGAACCGGAGGGAGCGGGAGGCGGTGGGCGGAGCCTGCGGCCGGGGAGGGTGGTGTGGGCGGGGCCTGGGGCGTCGGGGTGGGGAAAGGGGCCGGGCGCGCCGGGGAGGAGGGCCGGCCACGCAGGCGCGGGGGCCGCGCCGGGAGCCCCACGCGGGAGCTTCCAGTCTCCGGCCGGCGCGTCTCGCTCCGCCGCGCAGGGGCCGGGCGGGCCGGGCGCTAATAAAGAGTGAATGAGCGGCAGCCCGAGCGGCCCCCGATCCTTGCGCTCGGGAGGCGGCGAGGGGAGGCGGTTTGTCTTGTCCCTCCCTCCCCGCCCCTCTTTCTCTCTCTTCCTCCAGCTGGTGGTCCCGGAGCCCGGCTCGGACCGGTCCGTGTGCCCGGCCCCCCATCCCGCACTCTTCCTCCTCCTCCTCCTCTTCCTCCTCCTCCTCCTCCTCCGCGTCCCACTGCTCACCTAGGGCGCCCCGGATTGCCATGGGTTAGGGCGGGGGGCCTGGAGCCGCGGGAGAAGGACCAGCCCCTGTGCCTCCGCCGGAGGGCGCGGAGCCCGGGCGCCGGGCGATGGGGAGCGCGGTGTGAGCCCGCGCCCCGGGGAGGACGCCGGAGCCGCGGGGACCCGCGGAGGTGGAGGAAGAGCGCGTGGATTGGGAGGAGGACCCCGGGGAGGAGGAAGGGAGGAGGAGCAGGGAGGGTGGGGAAGCGAGGGAAAAGTGCAGCCGGGAGGAGGAGGCGGAGGAAGGTGGCGATTGATGCTTCTGTGTTTTGTTGCCGCCGCTGCCCTCGCGCTGGGAGCCGGGCCGGAGGGAAGGCGGCGGAGAGATGATTGCAGAGTTGGTGAGCAGCGCTCTGGGGCTCGCCTTGTACCTGAACACCCTGAGCGCGGACTTCTGCTACGATGACAGGTAAGGGGGTGAGAGGGAGAGGCTGGGGAAAGTGCCTCTTAGTCTCGGAGGAACTAATCCGGCACCTGAATGGGGAGGAGGCGCGTCAACAGGAACACCTAGAGCAGGAACGGGCGGGATGCGAGCGCGCTGGGCGGGCTTTGCAGGAGTTTGGCTTCCTAGTTTGCAGCAGGTTCTCTCTCCCTGGACTCCCGGCTGTTGGCAGACGTTTACATTTCTTAGCGGAAATCGCAGCAATTTGGGAAACTAATGAAACTATTAAAACAACAACAACAACAGCAGCAACACACGTCTTAGGTATTACTTGGTGCAACAAAAGCGCACTGAGTGATTTTACGTCTGGGCTGGGAAGCCGTTCCCCGCCCCCTAATACATCTTCCCGGTAACGTTTCCGTTTATGGATGGGACGGGCGATTTTATTTCCCGAGGTTAACGCACACCTCTGACAGTTGCCAAAATCATGGAAAGAGGATCGTACTCTGCTTCAACTTTCCCTTTTGACGTGTAGCTAGCGGTACTTGACTGTGAGCCAAGATAATGCTGCTGATGGTCTCTCCGGCTCTCTTACCTCCTCCCTCCTTCCCCCACGCGCCTCTTTCCCTAATCGATGGAGTAGCACTTTATAAAGGCTTGGCTTTCATTTCTGTTTGTGAGTTTCACACTAGACATTAGCGATTCTTTTGTGCTAATTGGGGAAGAAGACGCCCCTAGAGACTGAAATTGTCTTCTGCATTTGGGGTTAGTTTGGGTGGCTTAATGAGACCCGAACTGTGTTGTCAAAGAGACTGCATCGATTTCTGGAAAAATGTCATAGTTGTGCTCGTGGCTCTACCTATTTTTTAAAACGTTGTTAGTGTTTAGAAACTGATGAAAAGCTCCAACAGCCATTAGGGAACATTCCAATTTGTGCCTTTCCAGTGATTTAATCTGATTACAATTAAAACAGATGCATAATTAAAATATATTAGGGAGAACAGCACGCCTGGCTAAACTTATTAACCGTCCTGGGGTGTTTCATGCTCCATTGAAATTAAACTATCCAAAAAGTGAGCACAGATTTACTTTGACAGCTTTTCAGCAGCCTCTCCGGGCTGTGCAAAGTGAATGGTTCCCCAGGGTCAGGGCGAGGCAGTGAGTGAACTTGGGAAAAGTGGTTGATAGTGAGGGGAGGTGAAGGCAAAATCTTCTCCTGGTAGTAATTAGCCATGTTCTATATTCTCTGGTGTGCCCGCTCTCTGACTAAAAGCATGTTCATGGATGTATACCTTCAGTCAGCGGATTTTGGTTCCCATCCACATGTCTATTATGAAATCCCCCGATAGTCCCTGCAAAGACATCCAGCAAACCCTTCTTAATGCATTTGATATACTGTCTATCAGAGACTAGTTGCTAGGAAGCCCCTGTTAGACATAAACTTTCCCTCAATTTTTAAGCAATGTGCAGATTTTAGCAATTATGCTCCATGCTCTGAGAAATAAGTTCTCGGCGAGAGGGGCTGCTTCTGTTCCCTCCAGTTTTGGATTACAGTGCACCTGCTATTTCGAGGGCAATCGGAAGAAAAATCTCTTGCTTCTTTTCACAAAATAAGTTCAGGGACAAATCTGGGCAGTAACTGGCTCTGTTGGGGACAGTTCAAATAGTGAGCATTTAAACCAAGACTATACAGCTTATGAAAAAGTAACTTGCTGTGATATTGTAACTTGTAGATCACTGTGGTAAATCAAGCATGACTCTTGTATGCTACTGTTTTTTTTTTGTGTGTGTGTGGTTTTTTTTTTTTGCTATTTAGTTCTTTGAAAAGTACTTGTCAGAAGAAACTAGCCTGTCATGGTTAAAGCTGAAACTAAATTTTCATGTACTTTTTTCCCCCTGTAGACTTAGTGCTTGTTTTGTGTGTGTGTGTGTGTGTGTGTGTGTGTGTGTTTTAAATCATCAATCAGAATTGTTAGGCCTTTGTAACTTTAAGGAAGAATGGTGCAAGTGTGATGATAAATTAGTTGTGCTTTGACGGTGAACAATTGGTATTCATTCTCTACATGCTATCTGTTGAAGGGAGTGTCAGATTTGCTGACCTCTACCTCTCTACTTAAATGAATTTAATGTGATGATTTGCCCATGTCACCTAGTTGATAGCATGCTCAGTATATGATATCTAGACATTATACATGACATATGATATTGAGGGTCCGTAGGTACAAACTATACTTTTGCTACAATTTGAAGTGTCCTTGACTCTAATTTTCTAAGTGGCAGACCTGCATATGCAATCGCATACTCCTGAGAGTATGAAGTCTTAAAAGTATCAAACTTGTGTTTTTTAAAAAAAATATATATTTTTATAGATTTCAGAGAGGAAAGAAGAGGGAGAGACAGAGAGAAACATCAGTGATGAGGGAGAATCATTGATAGCTGCCTCCTACACGCCCCCTACTGGGGATTGAGCCCACAACTCCGGCATGTGCCCTTGATTGGAACCTGGATCCCTTAGTCCACAGGCTGACGCTCTGTCCGCTGAGCTAAATCTGTTAGGGCTAGTCTTGGTTTTTATGAAATCATGAAATACATATTAATAGGCTCATGGAAGTCGGTGTTTTCACAGCATGCTCGGGTGATTCAGTGCCCAGGTGCACTGCAAGCTGTGGCTTTCAGGTACAGTCCTTTCTAACTACTCCGACTCACCAGGGTGTGCAGGGGGGAGAGGGCTGGGAGTCAGCGGGAACTGTGGGATGATGGTAATGTTTATTTCCATCACTCCATTTCAGACTACAAAGAATCAAGTTTAAAATGTTGTTTAAACTACATCTGTGGATTCCGCTGGCCCCCCAGGAACTTCTGAGAAATACAGCTCTGTGAGGAGGGCAGTGCTGGAAGCAAAGAGCTGCACTCAGGGAGGGAGGTGGCTCTTACGCTTGACTTGCTTAACTACATCAAGACTGTGCATTTTAGTCAAGAATCTGGCATTTACTGTAGGAGGGCTTTATACTGCTTCAACTTAAAAATTATTGCTGTGGTACTTCTCAAAGTTATCATTTCTTTTAAGTATAGTGATCAAGTTTACTTTATAAATGATATATATAATTACTTCCAGTGTTTGATGTAGTTTGGTTGAAATTAAGTGGTAATCTGAGACGTTTTTATAGCAAAATCAATTTCCCTATGGTAAAATTTAATATTTCACAAGTTTTTCTGTGCTAAACTCAATATGGCGAGGATATGATGAAACAAACAGTAAAAGAGAATTCATCCTATCTAATAAAAAAAGCGCAAATGGTTTCAACGTCATCCCTCTTCCCCTTGCCTTCAATCCAGTAATGAATGTATTGAATCTTAAGTTGTGGCTAGAGTAAAATTGGAATTATAAATGTGCATTCTTTGCCAGACTTTAAGTCATGTTGCATTTGACTTCTTGAAGGACCCTCTCATTTTCTGGAGAAATTTGGTGTTTAGGTCAGTGGAAAAAACTGGCTGACCCCAATTTTTCTGCTCTCTTATGTATTTGGCAAGGATAATATTACATCATTTCCCCTTCATCCTCTTTAAAAATATTACTGTTAATATGCTTTGCGTAGAGATAGCATTAAAAGAGAAGTCAGTTTACTTCAAAGCAATAGAAGTAAACCCTCACTATTGTTTTGTAGTCTGATTTCACTTTGACTTACCATCTAATTGCAGGCATTTCCTTTAAGACATATAACTACTAAAGATACTGCAACTACTACATTTTTTATTCTCAGATGAGTAACGTAATGCACTCATTAAGAAAAAAAAGTCAATTTGAGGATTTGAAAGTGGGAAATGGATTTGTGGCTGCTTTGAACATTTTTTTCCTTATTGCCGATTTTGTATTTGTTAACCCAACCATGATCATTAACATTACTGTTATGTTTTTTAGCTATTCCATTTTGCAATAATTGTGTGAAACTTGGAGAAACAACTCCATGGCAGAAATTTCTGCTCTTGAATTAAAACTACTCCAAGCTCTTACTAGCACATTCCTAATTTGGGTACAAATGTAAATCTTTATTTTTAATGAAAATAAAAATGAAAATAAAGTTAAGACGTTTCTTCCTTAAAGTCATTGATTAACTATTTTAAAAGAAGGGATGGGAGGTGTAAGGCATGTTAACAAGTTTTTTAAAAACTTTATTTTCTAAAGCTATTCTACTACGCCTTCTCCTTGGTCTTTAGATGTTAACGCCACTTTGGGTTTTTGACCTGGTATGATCCTTTGTGAAATGATCAATCACTCTGTTATCTTGCCTCTAGAAAGTTCCCCTGAATAACTCACCTCCGGCCAATATGTTATTGGTACCTTAAAATTCTAGTGTATGCAACCATTGAAGGGATGCCTGGTATTTAAAAGTTTGTTTACAAAGAATTACTTATAAAATCTAAGTAAAGAAGGGAGAAGTTTGCTTTGAATCAAAGGATATATCATCAAGACTATACTGAAAGAAGCCAATATGTACAAGAGTGTTTTTTTTTTTTTTTTTTTTTTTTACTCTAATTTCCTTCCCAGTTTATAAGACACTGGAAAAAATGCAAGTGGACCTGATTTATAGTTTATGAAATATTTATGTGACATTTTATTTTTTAGCTGTTTTGATTGTTTAATCAAATCTGTGAAGAATTGGTTCATTTTACTGAACAAGTACATCTCAACAGTAAATTAAAATTAGGTGAAGCCAGTAGAGACCGCTTTGCCTCACCTCCATTGAGACTGCCACATGGGGCTTAGCTATCAGATGACCCAAATACAAGCACCGGATGGACATTTACAAACGCCATAGGGAAAATTGCTTGCCAGCCATCTGTCTCTTAATGGTTCCCCTGTAGATGTGTATGTTTTGGCTGTATTACTATATATTCAATTTATATCGTCTTGTCATCTGCACTTCGTTTTTCAGTGTTATTGTGCCCCTGTTGTAATTCTGAAATAGCCACAACCTTTTGGATTCCAGTTTGAGATAGGAGCATGCTTTGTCTCTCTCATCTCCGTG